CATGGTGTACCGGAGCGGCGAGTCCTTCCAGAGCAGCTGCAAGTACCAGTGCACCTGCCTGGACGGGGCGGTGGGCTGCGTGCCCCTCTGCAGCATGGACGTCCGCCTGCCCAGCCCGGACTGCCCCTACCCGCGCCGCGTGAAGCTCCCTGGAAAGTGCTGTGAGGAGTGGGTCTGCGACGAGGCCAAAGAGCAGACTGCCGTGGGACCCGCTCTTGCTGGTGAGTGGGGGTCCCTCTGCGGATGGCAGCCCGGGGGGAAGGGGCACCCTGCATGGAGGCTGAAGGCAGCGGGACAGGTTGACTGGAGGAGCGTAGCAGTCAGTGGGGCACCCCACAGATAAGCGCGGGTGTCTGAGTTTCTAAGGAAGGGGAGGAGAGCCTCTGGCAGGGCAGGAGATCAGATGGTGGTCTCATCCTGGTTTTCTGTCCCCTGCAGCTTACAGACTGGAAGACACGTACGGTCCAGACCCAACAATGATGCGCGCCAACTGCCTGGTGCAGACCACGGAATGGAGTGCTTGCTCCAAGACCTGTGGCATGGGCATCTCAACCCGGGTCACCAATGATAACGCCTTCTGCAGACTGGAGAAACAGAGTAGACTGTGCATGGTCAGACCTTGCGAAGCAGACCTGGAGGAGAACATCAAGGTAAATAGTCTCATCTTAATGTACGATGTACTAGCATGCTTCCATCCACTAGCAAAAGCCCAGTGTCTTACCAAAAAATGTGTAGTTCTGACAATCAGTTTCAAGTGGCTTACCTTGAAATTTGAGTTTTGTCCCAGTGACAAATAGTTTACAGCTACGCGCCCTTCATTTTCTCTCATGCTATAATATGGCACTATGTGAGACACTCGTGCTTAATGAAAAGGTAGTGAGGACTAGCGTGTCTGCTTGCCCTTAGCTTGCAAACTTAGTGCTGTGTGAAAGCCTACCTTCTAAACGTTTTGTATTCACCTGTCTCCTAACAGAAAGGCAAAAAGTGCATTCGCACCCCCAAAATCTCCAAGCCCATCAAGTTTGAGCTGTCTGGCTGCACCAGCGTGAAGACCTACAGAGCTAAGTTCTGTGGTGTCTGCACCGACGGGCGCTGCTGCACACCCCACAGAACGGCCACCCTCCCCGTGGAGTTCAAGTGCCCCGATGGTGAGATCATGAAAAGGAAAATGATGTTCATCAAGACCTGCGCGTGCCACTACAACTGCCCTGGAGACAATGACATCTTTGAGTCTCTGTACTACAGAAAGATGTATGGAGACATGGCATAAAGCCAGAAGAAGACGCTAACTAGATTCTCAACTTGAACTGATTTGCATCTCATTTTGTAAACATGATTCAATAGCACAAGGTATTTAAATCAGTTTCTTTTTCATTTCAACAAACTGCTCCATGTGACGTAAGACAATTTTTCTACTGACCCCAAATGGTGGTTTGAAGAAGAAGGTAAAACGGACAGTGGGACCACAGCAAGACACAGCTTCAGAACACGCTGTTTGTGAGGTGGCGTGAAAGGCTTAAGGGAAATGGGCAGGAAAAGCAGAGTCAAGCAAACGTTCCCTTAATGTGGTACAGCGTGCTTCATCTAGTAGTGCAATTGAGGAGGAGACCGTTAGCACGTTTGCTGGCGCTGGTTTAGTGCCAGCAGCAGCTGGAATGCAAACCCTCGCCCAGCAAAGTGCTAAGTAGAAGGTGTTCTGTTAGTCAGGACAGTAATGTTTCAGCTCTGACACTCTGATTCATATGGCTTGGTCGACGAGAATCAGAATCATGTCTATTAGACTGGACAGCTTGTGGCAGTTAATTTACCTGTAACAAGCTACTTTTTATTAATATTGTAAATACTGTGTGTGTATATATATTTGTACAGTTATCTAAATTAATTTAAAGTTTTGTGCCTTTGTTCAATGCTTTGAAATTTCAATGATAGCCTTCTTTTTTGGAACAAGATAGGTAGGATTTAAAGCTTATCTGACAATGCATTCAAAGCATGAAATAGATACTCTAGTGGAAATTGTTGAGACGGGGCCAAATGGTGAGTTGAGATCAAGATGGAGAGTATTAGAGTTGAGGTGCCCATATCCTTACAGAGCACTCGTCTGGCAAAATACATTGACTTCCATTCTATTGGACAAGTGGCTTTAAGAAAAATGGCTCTGCTGTAGCTCATCGGTCTTTCCACTCGAGCATTTGTTTCTTTCTTTGACTATGGCTCTTTGGACAGTTTATTTGTTGAGAAGTGTGACCAAAAGTTACATGTTTGCACCTTTTTAGTTGAAAATAAAGTATTTATATTTTTTATATAAATGGCTTGGTATTTCATTTACCTTCAGTCTCGCTATTACTTTACATATTCCTAAAAGGGCTTGGCTTTGCTCCAGATGAAAATCAAGTAATGCGTGGTTAGGTTTTTTTTGTCCAGAAGCGCATACACTCATAATTAAGCTAATGATTTATGGTTACTTATTCTGTTACTAGTGAACCAACTGTAGTTTGTTACTCTTCTGAATTTAGAATGGAGGGCAGGGCCAGGCTTGCTTTGTCAAGCTGGGTATTGCATTAGAAAGTGCAGCAGGTTCCTCATGCATCACATGTGGTGGCTTTAAAATGAGCCAGCTGGTCACCATGTATTCAACTCCTGCTATAATACTCCATGCAACATACTTAATTTCGTTGAAATGTTCCACCGGTTAAGATGTGTTTCCAGCTAAGGTAAGGAAAATGATTTTTAAAGTATCTGTATTAGTTAGAGTCAGGAGCCACTTTAGAGTCAAATCCGGAAGTCCAAAATTTGGTAAAATTCTCAGTGAAGAGCTGACAGGTTGTATCATAAAAACCACAGAACAATACAGGGCCTCTTAAGATCTTCCGATTTAACCTTCATGCAGGGTAGGGCTAACTTGGATGTGGTTTTACTTGAATTAAGACCTTACTATGGTGTGGAAGACGGCACTGAACTCAGATGGCAAATGCCTGAGTTACCTTCCCACGTGATGAGTGGGGGCAAATCATTTTACATGACAGTTCTGTCTGTAAAGTGTCCATTGATTCAAACTCTTGCAGGCTGACAGATGAGAAGCATTGTAAGAGCTACACATTTTGATAATGGTCCAAACATTCTTCTCAGGTAAGCAAAAAAACAGTGTGAGGACAGTTGTGAGTCACTTCCCTTGTCCCCCTAACGCTAAAAGGAAAGCTTCACTCCGGTGCTAGGTCCTACGTGAATAACAGACTTTATTTTGTCCCTTTATTAAGACGAGGGGATTCGCTGAATTGAAAATTAACCTTTGCACTGGAAGCATTAGTTCTTGTTTTCAGAAAAAAACACATACTCTCCAACAAGAATCCTTTTCAGGCAAAAAAATTCAATCTGGAATTTCCTGGTGGTGAAAG